TTGTTTGCAACTCACGTCGTATATAATTACTTGCAATTTCAAAAATAGCCTGCTTTGCGTTTTGCTCGATGCATTGGTAGAAAATTCCGTGACATGTCGATCAGTGCTGTCCTCAACTCCTTCTCTTTCGTTGTGCGCTTGGCAGTTAGTGAGTGAACATCGTTAGCAGGCATGAGCGAACACGAAATCATGCAATCTACTCGAATGCTCTTCAAGTAGCTGTGTTCGTCATCAGGATCGAATTTTAGCCCTCGTTTATAAACTGACTACTTACTCTTCTCCAGCTCTTCGTCACCCCCAGTCATTGTAGGTCGGTTAGCCCTAATGCATATTCTTCAAAGTACACTAGCACTTGCTACATATGGTTTCCCAGTTAATCAACGAGCCGTAAGGGAAGTGGAAAAGCAACTTGAAGCAGACGTGAAGCTTCGTCCGGAATGGGAACTTCAGGGTTTCCTGGAATAAGTCACCGCTACTCACCAGAGCCTACCAGAATGCATTCAGTCATGTGGGAGTGCCTGCGTTAATCCTCATGACAGTCTGCTGCATGCAGCTGTCTGTTACTACTATTATCAGTGATATGATTATTGTTTACATGAATCCGTCCAGTCGCATGTTCTTCAACCAATGCATCCGACCGTCTAACAGAAGTTCGAGCGATCGATTCCTGGATTCGCACCATCAGCAGCTGCTGCTTCTCTGTCACCTGGCTGCATCCTCGAAGCACATCCCTCTTCTCAGGCGCAGCAGCAGACTTTGCAACGCGCCACTGGTTTGATTGCTCAACAACCGACTCCGAACACGTCAACGACGAGCCCACAAAAATGGCTGTTGCAGCTGCTGCCCATCTGCTTCTTCAACAACAGCATCAACAGCATCAGACCCATCAGCAATATCCCCAACAACATTTCGGTACTTCTTCTGCCTCGCAATAGGTACACGATGTCACCTTGATGTGCTACCCTTCCGCTGGTTCCAGTGGCGAGAGTGCCGGTGTGCGCTTGATTGCAACGCTAGTTCAATCCCTGCTGACGCATTATCGAACATCTAGATGGGCTGATCTGCCCGGAGGCCTCCAAGCTATGAAGCCTCTGAAGGAGGCGCACATGATTACTCTTAGGCACCTTCTTTCCACTAAACAGAGCTCGTGGGTTGCCAGACAAGTGAGTGGAGTAAATGCACGCATGTACTTACATCAGTGTTTGTTATCAACTGATGATGACGTGTTGATATGTCAATGACTTCGATTATGTTCATGTCTACTGTAGGTGACATGCTAGTGGATTCAGCTGCCCCATGATGACCTTGAGCCTTCAAGTGCAAACATCCAACCGGCATCGTATGTGTCGCGAGTTGGACACCTATCCACGTTGACAACAAATGTAATGGCCAAGGTTGGTTTCCCGCGACCCATGTGGTTCGCTTACTTGTGTTTACTTGTACATGAAAGCTTCTACTCTTTGTGCTGTAGTCTGCGCAAACTGCAGTTTCGGGTGCAGGCAATGTAGGTGCCTCGGATGAATCGTCAACCATTGACGCGGGCATTGATGGAAGCAAGTGGAATCGAGAAGCCATCGCATAACTGCCAACACTCTCCTCATCGACTAACTTCGCTGAGGGTGATGACTTGGATGCGTGTGCGCGACACATTAGCACAGTTATCTCTCGGACAGTAGCGAAGTGCGGAACGCCAGTTGAATCCAACAGAGTAGAGATAGATTTGCTTGCATCAGTGACTAGCGTGTTTGTCCTAATTTCGACTTACAAATAGATCGTTGGTCTTCTTGACGACCTAGTTTGCTCTGCTGAACGAGGTGCTATGGATAGTTGCGGAACCCTTCTGCAGGGTCACGTAATGCGACCGGAGGTGTTCCACGCGGTGCCTTTCCAGCGCATCTTACTCAGGCTCTTCGCAGATCTGTAGACAATGTGTGGCAGCTCACAGCTGACAACTTCAGTTTGCAGGGAGGATGGGGAGTCGACAGGCATTACTCTTCTGGATTATGTTTCTCTGGCGGATGGCAATCTGCTGCACATGTTGCAACCAGAGCGGGCAACCTACCTTATATTCACGTGGCTCGAGATAGTGGCACATCGAGAGTTAGTTGACCAAACCCTAGGTGCATCGAGGAAAGACGGCGTGTCGCACACCTTACGTGCAGCCTATCGTGCTGTCTACGCTCAACTGCTAGTCGACAGACTCAAATTCCTCTCGTTCTTCCTCCACAGTGCTCAGATACCGGAGCCTATTGCCGTCCTCTGCACTGCCATATTCCGGCTGTGTCTAATCCTCGTGTACAAATATCCCGAGCCTATTGCCGCCGTCTACACAGCCATATTCCCTCTGTGTCTGGTCCTTTACTACAAATTTCCAGACTTCCTGACGGAGTACTGTGAGCTGTTGGGCAACATCGTCTCATTGAATTCTCTCCAACTAAGGAATTTACTTCCTTCTGCAAAACCTAGAAGATGTGTTGCCTCACCTGATCCCTTGAACGTGAGTTCGCACCACCACCATGTGTCTAGAATCGTCGTTTCAGTTAAATCGGCCTGGTTATTGCTCGCGTTGTGCTTACAGCTTAGTAGCAAGAATGCTTGGTTGATAGGTCAAATTGATTCTCTCACACGTGGACCAGCTGAGACAAGAAGACGATCCTTTTGGGTTACTGCATGCAAGCCGGCGAATGACTGCCACCCATTCTTTATGGCGAAATCGACACGTACGTGGCGAGCTATGCACCGGTCAAAGTGCTTTCCGAACTGGTGACTGTGCTGCGCATCACCGGCTATCTCCTCACATTCCTCATCAATCTTCCCGGTCTTTACACCTTGGCTCTGGCCGCTGCCACCGCCACCACTGAGGCGACGAGAGGGGAGCACGACGGGAGTGAGGCGGTGTCTCAGGAGGCCCCACCTCCACCACAGGGCAGGAAGGCGGGTGGCCAACAGGCCAACGCCGCGATGCTCTGGTCTGCCCGCGCCACCCAACATCTCCCCACATTCGGTTTGGCTGCCAATCTCCAATACAACGTCGAGTTGATAATGAATGTAGTTCAGTACATCTGCATTACGGCAGTGAAGAGATTGCGTGTTGTCAAATGAGTAGTGGTTACTTGATTGCTCCAGGTCGCTGCCTCCTGCTCAATTGCATGGCGAATCAGCTGCGTTACCCACACGCGCACACGTACTACTTCTACAACACGCTTCTCTGCCTGTTTGCGGAGCAGTCGATGGAGCAGATGAAAGAGCTGATTAGTCGTGTGTTGATGGAATCAGGCGCCTAATCGTGCATCAGGCGCCCCCGTGGGTTCTTGTGTTGGCGGCAGCTGAACTTTTGAGCAACCCCGTCTACCGTTTCTGGAAACATGCGTTAGCCGGATTCCACGAGGACATGCAGAAATGAGTAGTTTCCAGTAGCAGTACTGATTCTAATCCAGAGGTTAAACCTGGGCAGGTTGATGTGAAAGCAAAACTTGTAAGATATTTGGAAATATCTGTCCGAGTGTTTGCATTTAATATATCAGTTTTTTTTCTTTAGACAGCACAGTAACCGTTATTGGACGTACCTGCATCTGAAAATTTGGCTCACTTGTATGCATTGTGGCTCAGTCTTTATTCAGCGTCGCAGCTGCGGCAGCAAACCGCTTGGCCACCTCTCGGAGCCAATCAGCTGCCTCCCACTTGCCGTCCACGCAACTCCCAGCCGCCGGGTCCTAGTGAGGTTTTATTGGCCACCCAAATCAGACTATGATGTTGTTGGTTTAAATTCGTGGACAATTAGTCACTTGGATTTTAAACAAATGATCAAGCATTAAATATTACAGTTTCTGAAGCACTTCGCTGATTGAAAAATCTAAGATGAATTATGAGTTGGTGTCCGTGTCAAATAGCTCAAAGTTTTGGTAAAGACATTGTCACAATTTCAGCAAATGCATTCGAGTGCATTTTTGAGTCTTCGCAGGATGTTTTAAATGGAATTTGATTTGAGGTTAAGTCGATCGTAAAATCAGGTCTGAAACTAGAAATTATTTTGCCTAATGTACTCAACGATGAATCCACTGCGTTGGGGGAGAGAGTGTTCAGATTCTGATCCCACCAATGCAAACATAGTGTTTGCTACGAAAACTATCTTCTTAATTTGTGGTACTGTTACTTCGATGATCGAACACGCTTGTTTAGCAGGTCATAGCTGAAGTGAAAATGAAAGAATGTTTTATCATTGATACAAATACTAACTCATTTTCAATTGAACAGGCAAAGAGACCTGAAACAGAGGAGGCAGGATGTCCGTTGCCTTGGCGAATATGCCTGAGATATTTTTGGCAAAGGCGGTATTACAAGTGAGGTAAATTAAATTACGGAGAAAGAAGAGCATGCTTTTGAA